ATTGCTAAATAAATAGTACAAGTTTGATTTCACAAATAAATTGCCAAGTGTAAAACGGCTATTAGATTACATTAACACCCAGGATAGTCAGCACACATCTATAAACGCCTTTTACTTTGAAAAAACACTTAAGGCCAATGGCATCGATCTAACTAAAACGTAGACCTTTCCACTTCCTTCGAAATGACTTAAGTTGAAGTCGAGTCGATTTTTGGATTATTTTTCTAGAGAATTGCACGCAGTCAGTTAGCGATTCAACTTGACTCGTCAGAGAAGTAACTTTCGACCGAATACCCATCCGAAATTGACCAGAAAGTTTTGATAGCTGCTACTTAGCAAATTACGGGAGAAGGGTATACGGGATTAGAGAAGTCGTTTTATTTGAGGGTTGTTCGGTAAAGTTAGTGGCTTTGAATTGAGAATCGACGTTTTCGGTTTCGTACGATGAACAGCTGCCTTCTGTTCATTTTAATTCTATACAGGGAAGTGGCTAATTTGCCTCTTGTAAACTATCCTCATTTTCTTTAGACTCTCTTTCGCGTCTTACCATAGTTACGGTATTCCATATTTTGCCTGAAATTTTAGAGAACACGGTTCCTATAAATATTTGTCATTATTATTAGCAGTGGCGCAACTAGATAGGATCTAGTGTGTCCTTAGAAAAAAAATAGCTGATGATTGGTGCGGGTCGTTTAAAATTGGTTATAACCTCAAATCAATGTTATCTTTTAAGTGAGCTAAGATCCCCTGAAATATTTGAGCCCCCCTAAAAGTCAGTATCTAATTGCGCAAATTAACTAGCGCAAATAAAATTTTTGGTTCGTTTGTCAATTATATAATGCCAATTTTTAGTTGTAAAAACTGTCTGACGAGTTTAACAGCTGACTTGTAAAGTATTTTTCAGCATTAAGCTATTGAAAATGACGAATCAAGTATAAAATAAAAATTCTATAGTATAAGAATATTGAAATTAAATATAAATATAGATAAATATGTTGAAATTTAAAATGTCAATATTTGATATTTCTATTATTTTATTAAACTGAGATTGTGAAACTATACGCATTTTTCATAATTATGGAGACTGTTTTATTATTAATATATAAAATTAGAGTAATAGAACATAATATATTAATAAATATTACTAAAATAACCATTACTGGTCTATATTTATTTCATTGTTATTACCTATATTACAAACGTTTGGATACCCAAGCTCATACTTTATAATTCTAATTTATTGCAAGTAATAAATAAATTATCACGTTTCTCTGAACGAACGAGCCTTAGAGACGAACGCGTCGCATTGTGATTCGATTCAATTCTCACGACTCGTTCGTTTAAATTTTATGGATCCGTGTGCTGGCCACAATTCAATTGAACGAACCCTATTGTAAGCAACAATTCAATTGAACGAACCCTATTGTAAGCAATGAATCAATCCTCACGATTCTTTGAATGAATGAGTCGAAGAAATGAATAATAAATGATCCGATTCAATTCTCACGACTCGTTCATTCAAATTTTAGGGATCCGTGCTGGCCACGATTCAATGAACGAACCGTCTTGTAGGCAATGAATCAGTCCTCACGACTCTTTGAATGAACGAGCCGTAGAAACGAACGTGTCGCATTATGATACGATTCATTTCTTACGACTCTTTTTTATAACTCGTTCGTTCAAATTTTATAGATCCATGCTGGCAACGATTCAATTGAACGAACCGTATTGTAAGCAATGAATCAATCCTCACGACCCTTTAAACGAACAAGCCGTGGAAACGAACGAGTCGCATTGTGATATGATTCATTTCTTACGACTCGTTCGTTCAAATTTTATGGATTCGTGTATAGATAACCAGACAATTCGGGATGTATTGCTGGCTGCATTATGTGTGACAACGGTAAAAATCTGTAATATATAGCAGGTAGTTTATTCTCTGCCCTTTTCAATAAAAGTTTAAGATTTGCCTTTAGTCCTGGTTTATTCTAAAGTCGAAACTCTCTTTTCTAAATAATCATATAACACCGTGCTGGTTACGATTCAGTTAAACGGATCATATTTTAATCGGTGAATCGAATCTCAAGATTCAGTTTTAATACTCGTTCGATCTTTGGCCACCGTTAATAATCACTATGCGCTGATGCGGTTGGTCGATACAGTCGTCAATGCGTAGATTTGATTTCTCAATGCGTCGCACAATGGATCGAAGCATAAGAAAATATGGACATTGACTTATTTCGAAATTAATACTTTTATCTTATTGCTTTCTATGTACGACTTCAATAAATGCAACAAAAATCTAAATTAATATGGCATTTGGTACCATATAGTTTACAAAATATACAGGGTGTCTCAAAAAAAGAACTAATATCTAAACAAAAAAGAAAACAAAAATATTGTAACAAAAGAGAAATTGCTTTCTCTGTTAAATATAAATTAATATGGCCTTCTGTACCAGATATTTTAAAAAATATACAGGGTGTCTTACAAAAAGAGCTCACCTATAAACAAAAAAGAAAACAAAACGTTACAACAAATGAGAAATTACTTTCTCTGTTAAATCTAAATTAATATGGCCTTTTGTACCAAATAGTTAACAAAATATACAGGGTGACTCACAAAAGAACTAACCTCTAAATAAAAAAGAAAACAAAAACATTATAACAAAAGAGAAATGGCTTTTCACAATATGCTTGATTGTTATTCCATGGCAAACTTGATATCTGAGTGACGAAATAGCTAAGCTTAGCGCACTGTATTACAAATGTATAAATATTATATCATTTCTGTATTGATAAAAAGACAAAACCTGAACTTCGACTCATTCATGTTCGATGTCTCTTGTTTATCTTAATTACATAAAAATTAATGGTATTAACGAAAATATTTCTAGGCCTTTCAACCATATGCCTAATGTATTTTAGTGTAATTTAGTCCCACTCCAATATTCTTCGACGAATATACTTACCTATGGATATCGGCAAATTACAAATTGTTTGATGGTGCACTGGGCGTGCATTGCATACATTCAAGGATTTTGACATTAAAAACGTTATATTTTTTGCAGTGGCAATTTGGGGCAGCAAATTTTTATGATATGTGCTAGTAAAGGTGGCTCTTTACATTGCACGTAATATCACCGCTTACATTTTTTTGTAATTCAAAAAAACTTTATATTTTTAAGTCTTAATGACATAAATAAAAACAAATGAGTTTTTCACTTTTGGTGTGACTTTTTTTTTTAATTTAACAATCCTATACTATAGCCCAAGAACGCTTCTAATGAGTCGTTATATATAACAAATGAATATCTTTTACATCCATTTTAAAATTACAATCAAATGTAAGACTCTTTATCTACCAATTTGAATGATTTTTCAATTTACTTCAAATGGTGCTCATATGCTCAATAAGTAAATAACAAACAGACATACTGTATATGTTTTACAAGACTAGAATATCTCTTTAACACAAATATGTAAAAAATTATTTAAATTTGGAACTCTTCAAAAACAGCCAATGTCTCTATTTTCTTATGCTTCGATTCATTGTGCGTCGGTGGGATGGTTCGTGCAGTGGTTCGGTGGAATGTCTCGGTTTTTGAGGAACTATCGCAAGAAATATCACGAACACAATGAATAAATTTCCCAACGAACTAAGGAATCGCATCGACAAACCGCCTCCATAAATCAAACTCACTACGCGTGCATGGACGCATCAAGTCGATGTATCAGCGCATAGTGAGTATAGGGTTTAAAAAAATTGTTTTAAATGAATTTCTACAACTTGTTAAATTACAACTTATATTCTGTAACAGCAAATTAAATATTATATATCTGTAGATTACTAATCTAATTTATTTTATATTTCTGTAATGCATCGATCATTAGAGACTATACTAGTTTTAAATTTGCAATTCGAATAGCAATTTCAACAAGCTGAGATGGTAAAAGCGTTAATTGAAAAACTCTTCTTTTATTCGTTGGCCGCGTTCGACGAAAAGTTTTATTGGAGTCCTTGTTAAAACAGAAATAATTGACATCTAATTAAACTTTTCTTTTTTTTTCCTCGACGCCATTTCCGCAGTCTTTGTTAAATTTTTCTTTGTCTGTCATTACAATCTTTTACTTAACCTGCAATGCTTCATTCTTATAAAATTTTGCGCACATTATTGAGTTTCCGTGACAATACTGATAATACACGTATTGCTTGTTTAGATTATTTCAAATTTTACTGGGCGTTTTTCAAAAGTGACTAACCTCTATAATTTTTTTTATTTTTTCTAACATTAGTTTGTGACATAAATCAGAATTGATTGAAGTATTCAGTTTGTTTCGGTCACTTTCTGTTTCACCGGAAATTACTACAAATTTTGATTTTTAAATGGTACTCTCGGTATTTTTTTAATTTGATAGAAAATGACATTCTGAATCGAATGACATATCATATGTCAAATTTTAATATTTTCGCTGGAAGAAATAGCAGATATCCCAATAAACACAAATTTCAATTTAAAGTGTCAGGGCTGTGTTAAAACCATTATTTTTTAATCAAGGAGGCTTGGAGAAGTAGATTTAATGTTTTCATAACTTTTCCCGACCACTTAAAATATGCCCAAATCGGATTTCTAAACACAACTCATTTTTTTTCTAATGAAATGAGGATCGTTCATTAATATATTTGGAAAAAGCATTATTTTACGAATAATTTGGTACCACATACTTGGTATTTCGAGTTTCGAGTCAAACGACTAGAAAATATTGGTACACAGGTACAGTATCAAGTTTATTATAGTGATTTTCTTAGCCGTGTGTAGCACATATCGTTATCCAGAGCGAGTTAAACAGTTTTGAACATTTTGAAGAAAAATCTAGTAACAATAAATATTTTTTATTTTGGCTTTATTAATCATAATTATCGTTTTTGCATAAAAAATAACGTTACATGAACTTCCAGAATGTAACAGTAATAATTATTATATGTAGGTATACACTTACCATTATTTTTGTATTATTATTTTCTTCGACACAATGAACTTGCCTCATTTTGGAACCTCCACCGCATGAGACAGAACATGGACCCCAATCAGACGCATGCCATCTGTAATGAAAAAAATATATATAAAATTAAAGAAACTGCTTTACAGCACCCCCTAAAATGACAATTTATAATTTCTGTCCGATCAACACCTATTATGTAATTTTTTTAATTAATTCACGTCGTCATATATTTTTTTGTCCCAATACACGTTGATTTATATTTTAATGTTTAATTTTAAATCGGCAAGTTTTATGAAAAAAAGTAGTAAATATTATTTTCTAAATATACCAGGCAATCTAAATTAATTTTTTCAAGTCTTATTAGTTGTTATTCAAATTTGGCTAAAGATAATAATAAGAGTAGTGTATTTCAGTCCCTTCTGTTCATTTTTAAAAGTTTAAAACTATGCAAATAGTGTGGTTTTATAGTAGGATAATTCTATGGCTTTTCCTTTTTAAGACAAAAGATAAATACACTATTTTTAGGCCATATTTGTAATTTGTTGTTGAAAATTATGAATTATTACCTACACAAAATTCGCGCTACACCTTTGGAATAGATGTTAAAATAGACATGGTGTTTAGTTGTGAAATCGTGCGGTTAAAAGAAAACAATTGCTTAAATTTTTTAAAGCTTAAAAAACGTTTAGAGAAAGACCGCCGCATTAACTTAAAATATAAAAAATGTGAAATAAAACTTTAAAAATTGTGCATGTGTATATATTATGCATTTATATTTTTGTGATATTATTATTTATGCGTCTTTTAAATCCTACAGTGGAAAATTTGTGTAAAGAAGATTGACTGGATTTTTAGTGAAATGGCACTAGAGCACCTGTTTAAAAATGTAAGAAATTTTAACAGAATTTATATTTATTTTTAGATTTATTTTCCTTTAACTAAACGTCCAAATGAAATTACGTTTCTACAAGGGAAACACATGAGAAACAAAATATGTTAAAGTGAACATAAGTGTTCATCTAGTTCTAACATATACATATGAGATACACGCAGGTTTATATTGATACAATTGTGTGATACAGTGTCTACTAGTTGTATACCGTATGCATTCAAGATTCTAAAGAGTTTTTTGTAACGTAACAAATAATTATTAAAATGATGCAATCTGACGTCGGTATATGAGACATACAATGTATAAGTCATATGTATGTGTGATACTTCGTATCATCATAGTTGTGCCTATAGTACACACCTTGTAAAAATGTTCTGTTTGTGTGTAGTTTAAAAGAGATTTTAAGGTAAGCACAAGTTTTTAATTATCTTGTTACACCTTCCTAAGAGTATTATTAATATTATAGCAGCGGCTCTTCCCTTACTCGATACCCAATTTACCAAATTTTGACTCCAATGAATGAATTCAAATATTCTCGTATAATGATAAAGAGGTTAGCTCTGCAATATAATTTTTTTTTTAATTTGGAAATAATAAAAATCAAAATGGACCAGAGAAAGAAATATTTAAACACTTCAAAGAACTTCTTACACTGATATTCGGTAAGTTATTGATGGATCAATATACAGATATGTTTAATATTCAATAATCAGTTTCATATAAAATTTAAGGGTGAGGTTAATCTAATCAGCACCTTGTAAGAAACCTATTAAATTTGGACGCGTCCGATGGCGCTTTATTGACCTCCCTACAATAATGACCACGATCCACAACTGGTATATAGCAAAAATCGTTAAAAAAATAAAACCATTAATTATCCTGGTAAAATCCTTCGATTTTATCCAATTTTTACACTTTTTCCATGTTAGTTTAGTCTTTTTTCTATGTTAAAAGAACACTCTAATACACGTTGAATGGTCCTAAGAAACCACCCAAATATCCCCGCATATCCATTCTAATGTAATAGACCTCCAAAAGCCCGCATTGCCAAAAATATCGGAGCATCATATATAAAAAAATTGCGGAAATGAATGAACAGTATTGGAAAGTTGAGATTAGAAATCAACGAAAATAAAATAACCTTTGCAAGCTCGTTTTATATTAAGTAAAATCATTATTATATCTTTATATTAAAAATATGTAAGGCTAAAAATAAAAAAGTAAGTTAGAGTGAATGTGAAATGTATGATAAAATATGTTTCTCTTGGTTCCATAAATAAAATTCCAAAAAAAAAATGTTTTGTTTTTCTCAAAGTACCAACAATAAAAAGGTTTTTTTCCTCTTGTAAAGACAATCCGGGGACATAGTGTATGGGGTGTTTCAGTACAAAAAAAACTTTGATGAGTGTCTCTTTTAGGAACAACCTGCAAAACTTTATATATTTTTAAAAAATGCTATAAATTAATTTAAATAATGTGCCCCCAAAATTTCATTTCAATAAAAACTAACTCCTTGAAGCCTTCGTGTTGAGTGAATGGCGCAGCGCCGCCCTGTATAGAGCTTGATAACATAAATCCGATGATAATGAAAAAACATAAATGTTTCGTCGTAAAACTTTTTTTTTGTTATACAACGTGCCAGTAATTTGTTCCGGCACTGAGTTTACTGGCTGAAAAGTTGGAGAGTGGCAAATTTGTGACAAATCCCTGAGGTTCGTTCGTTTGGAGTGGCCGCGCGAAATAAATACGACTCTTGTTAGTTAAATGGCAAAAGGAAGAGGCCCGTAGCTTTGCGGTTTGTTGTAAATTCCGTCTGGTTTGTAAGTAAACAGGTCGTGGAAGATATTTGCGAATAAAACGAACCAGAGAACTTTATGCTGGTACTTAAATAACTTTCTAAAACTGCGACTTTTAATTTGTTCGATAAAAAGTGTAATTAATTGTAACAATAAAGGTAACTATATGTTAAATAATATACAGGGAGTTTTTTTGAGAAATTTATGAAAAACCCGGCAAAAATATAGCTCAGGAGTCTCAAAAAACCATTTAGACAGTAAGATGTTTTAGGTATTTATTCTTTCATTACTTGTGGCTTTTAGTGAAATTTTATTTTTCACACTATATTGTGGTTTACTAATTCCGTAGAGGAAGTTTGTATGTATAGACTTTATATAGTAACATAGTATAAAGGTATCCTTTATGGGTATTTCGCCACTGCACTGCAAGAAAATCTACAAAATAAAATAATTATTTTTTGTAAACACTTCTGCGTTAAACCTAAACGGATGCTGCTTGTCAGAAGTTATGTTTACAGTAATACAAATTTGCCTAACAAAGAAAAAAATGCTTAACGTTTCGGAAAGTTATCTCTTTCCGTCGTCGGAAGCAAAAAAATAAAACGTGTGTTAAAAATAACAGAACGTCAACGGTTTCTTGTAGACGTATCTGTTTTAAAAAAGTAAAGTGTTCTCGAATAGTTGAATTTAAATATTTTAAATAGTTTTTTTTCTTTATTCTTTGTATTTTTTTGCTTCCGACGACGGAAAGAGATATCTTTCCGAAACGTTAAGCATTTTTTTATTTGTTAGGCAAATTTGTATTACTGTAAACATAACTTCTGACAAGCAGCATCCGTTTAGGTTTAACGCAGAAGTGTTTACAAAAAATAACTACTTTATTTTGTAGATTTTCTTGCAGTGCAGTGGCGAAATACCCATAGGATTTTTTTGGAAAGATGAATCCGCCACATAGGTATAGACATTTTTTAGTATAAAGGTATTCTAAACGTAATTAGTCTAAACATAACATAGTCTAGGCTCATTCAATTTAATCAAGTGAGGAGTTACTTGCTTTCTACAATGCAGATCACAAATAAATCTTACCGATGCATTTTGTACTCTCTGTATTTTTGCTTGATTGTAGCTGGTCAAAAACTATAATAAATCTGACTACAAGAAGTTTTGTCGTTTCTTCCAACAAAACATTTAGATTATATAGGCTTTACAAAATGTATTTCTGGGGTCGACATATACCACCTAAAAATATTTGCACTTATTTACGACTCACCTTGTATAATAATTATGCATGATCTTCGTTAATAATATATATTGGGTACTTGCATTTTGTACAGGGTGTCCCATTTTGGTTGAAATCATAGGGTATCTCCGTTATTAGTGAAGATAGAAGGGTGCGGTTTGCACAAATCTGTCCCACTTTTTTCTTTTTTGTCAAACGGAAGATGCCGTAAACAAAATTTTCATGGCATTCTTCGTTTCTGAGCTACACGGTCTTTTTGAAAATTTTGCAATTTGGGACAGTCCCCGTATCTCCGTTATTGTGGGTGATATCGAGAGGGTGAAAACTGATTCAAGAACTTTTTACGTAGAATACACATTCTCGACAAAAGTAATACAGTAGCGTAGTCTGTTTTTCTACAGAAAAAATATTTAAAAAAATATCAACTAAAGATATGTTTTTTTAAGTGGAATACCCTGTATATTTATAAATCATATGATCCGTCTTGCTATGAGCTTCTCAAAAATGTATATCACTCTATATTTATTTTCACTCTTTAATTCAATATTTGAAATATATCATTTTTTGATTAGTAGGCCGTGATAAATAACATAAAAATTAAAATGGTATTACTAAAATGGGCATACACATATACAAATTTTATTTGGGATTGATATATTTTACTTTTGAACTGTTACCACTGAATCTCTGAATATATTTTTCTTTCTTTATAACAGAATTTATTATAACGGGATGGGTTTGCAAATATCTAAAAGCTTGTATTATTAAAGCATTTTCCAGGTGTTTGACATTGTTGTAGTTGCTACGATATATTTCATATTTTAAAAATCCCCAAAATCAGAAATCGAGAACGGACAAATCCGGGAATCGGGGATGCCATCATATGGGTCCATTGGTTCCAATTCCATGATTTGAGAAATAATAATTTAACAAAATTCTAATATTTTCAAAGTTGTTAGGGAAAGCCACCTCTTGCTGAAAGTATATTTCACGTAAATTAGCTAAAGGAATATCTAAAAGTTCCGGTACGATAACTTCAAAGATTTACAAAAGCGGTAGAGAGTTAAGTTTTTCTAATATATAAAAAAATTATTAGTAGCCCCTAAAATAAAACAAGAGACAGATATCAGTATACTTTTAACAATTCTTTATTTTCTGTTATTATCAATCAT